CACTTTATTTGTACTAGTACAAATAGTAGAAATGTATGTATTACACATATGTTACTATTTTATAAATTACTTAATAAAAATATAAGCAAGACTTCACCTTAAAAAAAAAAAAAAAAGATTATAGAAGGTCAGTATAGAGCACTAGTTAGTCCAGAAGCAGTATTTTTAGGTTTTTAGTATTTCAAGGCATATATATAGTCATGTTTGTATTACTGTATTGTTTCTGATCTACATCATCAACAAACCCATTTAGGAAGTAAATACTGCTGACTGTTTTGGTAGTTTTACATGTTGATTTTTAGAAGAGGATATGTTATTCTTAATTTTGTTAAAGAAAGTAACATTTATTAGATGATTTTTTAGAGAGAAGAGGGGTAAAAAAAATTAAAATTTAATATAAAGAACCTGATCAAGTATATATTAAAAAAGAGAGAGGAGGGTACCTCTCTAATAAAAAAAAATTAGGTGATAAATGACATGACCCTAACTGTCCTAAATTATCTTTTTTATTAAGTTTTGCTAAAAAACCTTCTACTTATTTCATTATTAATTCCTGTTGCAATGTTTTGCAACTGTCTAGATTTTTGTATTCTATTATATAATTCTCTAATGTTCTTAACAAGTCACTTTTTTGTTTTATCAGACATATTATTGATTAGTACTTTGTTTATTTCTTTTTCTGACATTTTTATTAATTATAACATATAACTTAACTTTGGTATTATTACTATATTGTTTATATATATTATTTGGCTCATTGTTATCTTTTTATACTTAAGGTCTTTTATTGTTTGGCTTACTATTCCTTTTACTTTTTCTTAATTAGAACTTTTCATATTCTGTTATTTAACCAAATTTTTAAGTAACAAACTATTTTGTTTTTTGGTTCTTCTATTATTTTACTTTTTCCAAATATTATTTTTCTTTCTTCTTTCTTAACTTTTTCATTCATTATTATCAACTTAGATTTAGTTTTATTTATTTTTATATTATTTATTTTAAAGAATTCTTCTACTACTTTTAGTTTTTTTTGTTTTTTTTTTAAGGCCATACTTGTAGTGATACTTTATTGACTTTATATCGAGTTAGTTATTACAACTATTTTTACAAAGATAAGAGTACAGCTAGTCATGTATACAACTTTTAGTTGCCTATTTAAGCAGTCTGTCCTAAGGTTCTATACTAGATGCTGTATTTATAACTTATTAGAAGATTATTTATTTAAACCTTCTGATCATCTGCTCTGTTATATTAGAATTTTCAACTTATTCCTCATATATACCTAACCAGTATACCATTTAAGCAGTATGGTTACCTACCCTTTTTGTACTAGTTCCTAGGCTATTATACATTTCAAAGTACATTATTTGCCAGTAAAGTACAGGAGGCCTCTCATTGTTAACTATCTATCTACTTTTAGAATACTAATATGAGCCATCCTTACAAAGTTTACCCAGACCCTGGTACTGACTTCATAGCATATTTTTAGTACTTTTAGTATATTCTTATTTTGAACTCAAACTCCCAATTCAGATAGCCTAAAAGGACTATGACCTGTTCTTGGTATATTAAGACCAGCCTAATATCCTTTTCCTCTGGTTTAAAATCTGACAGCCTAATTAGTAGTACCTCTTACTCAAGATTCTTGTCTGCCTGAATCCTTCCCATTAATATCCATTTTCTAGGTTTATTCTTTACAGTAGTATTGTCAAAGATCCATGTTACCTCTCTGCTTAGAATTTCCAAATAGGCTCTGGCTTCTCAGTTCTAAAGATTTACATGGCCTGAGAACTTATTTTAGATTTGCACCACCCAATACCAGTTTGTATTCCTCTGTATAATAGGTTATACAGATGTCTTAGACCTACCAGTCATGCTAGTGCGATCATAGTTACAGGTATCCTATCTCAACTAATTAACAGAATGCTATTATCATAATACCATCTATATATTATATAGGTGATTATTCAAATTTCACTGTTGGTGGGTTTTGAACTCACAACCTATTACTTGAGGGTATGACAACTTATTCACTTTACTAAGTCACTACATCTTTCTTTTAATATTTTTAATAGCTATTTTTTGTTGTTTATGATTTATGTTATATTATCTGTATATGCAATTGCTGCTTAATAATAGCTTGTGATATTGTAATATATTTTTTTTTTGATCTTTTGCTTTATTGTATAACCTAATCTTTTATTTTTCTATATTCTTTTTAGTAATAGGTCATAAAAGAGGCATCATATTAGTGATAATATTACTTTATCTTAGTTTATTCTATCTTCTGCTATTATTTCTTCTATTAGGCTGTAGGCTGTAATTATCTTAAACTGTCTTTTATAAAAAAGATTTAAAACAAAAGTATCTATAATTCTTTGTTTTTTTCTTTTGCCTCTTCTATTATCATATTTAAAACATGTACTGACTGTTCTGTTGAGTTTTCTGAAAGGCTTATATAGTTTAGTTTCTTAAATAAAACTTTGTAATTATTAAATAACTGATTCTAGTATTTTAAAATAGTTAATTGATATTCTGTATATAAGTATATACAATATACTTAAAAAGTATTTTGTCTATTTTCTACTATTTTGAAAATAATAATAATTTAATTTAAAAAAATATTAAATAAAAGTTACAATAAAATTTTTTATTTCAAATTTTAAATGAAAATATCTTAATAAACATTTATTTTTATTTCAATTTTATGTTATTGTATGATATAATAAAATAAAAAAAATATTGTATTAATTTTGAATAAATAATTATTAAGTTATCTTTACTTAAAACTTTAAAAAAATCTTATCTATAAAAATCAAACTTTGTGTAAAAATATCCTAACAAATATTTTAATAAATTTTTATTTTATTTTATATTAATGTATAAATAATAAAATACATATTTTTTATCAAAATATCTTTACTCAAAGTTCAAAACAAAATTTATAATTTTTTTAACATGACTAGGATATTATTGAATTTTTTTAATGCTAATACTTTGTTATAATATCTAACACTAGCATTAGTACTAGTAACAGACTTGTTATAGTTTTTAAGTTATGAAAACTAAAAAATTAATGTAATGATTATATATATTTTTATATAACTTTAACAATAAATTAGAAATTATGTTAAAACAATTATTAATTATGATACATAAAGTAATTTAATTTTCAAATAATAACTTCTAAAGAGATTATTTGTTTTTCTAAAAAACTTATTCTATTATTTTTATATTCATCTTATAACTCTAATCTGTACTTCTAAGGAATAGCAAATTAAATAAATTGTTGATTTTATAAGAACATTGCCGACTTATCCTGGTTTCCTCTTATTATACTTAAAAATAGCTTAAATAATCATGTTCAATGCATTAAGTAAAAATGTTTAGCGCTTATTCTAACCTTAACTCTAAATATAATTCTAATCCTAACCCTAATCCTAATTCTAACTTTATTTTAATATTAATTCTAGTTTAAAATTTGAATAAAGTTGCGTTAATGTCGCCCTCATAGTATTTTACAATGGAGGTAAAAAGAATTTTTTTTGAATAAAAATTTATAATAAACTATGGGGGATCAAATTTATAATTTTAACCCCAGGTTAAAATTAGTTAAATTCATTTTATAATATATATATATATATTTATTAAAACAAATAAATCCTAACCTATATACAGAAAATAATGCTAATTGACAATATACAATTATGAATGTTTTATGAAGAATCCCTGATTCGACAAGAATAAAGGTAGGAATAATCACATTACCTACTTAAAACATGTTATATCTAGGTTAAAAAACAGGTAGTAATATACTATGTACAATGTAAAATTAATTAATATATTATAAAAACTAATAAAATAATTTTCAGTACCATAGATCAAATCAAACGAAATGATAAATATGAATTGATGATATAAGGATGGAAACGTTTCATTCCTTGATACGCAGGATGGACGTAAGATAGACGAAAGATGGGATGGAGGTTAACAATTGAAGAGAATCATCGGAGCAAAAAAAAAGATAAATAATTTAATAATACCTTCTTAATACCTGCACTAACAGGCACATCGTAAAATTTTAACCGGTCATCAAAATATTTTTCAAGTCCCGATGCACATTTAACATAAACAGTACCCTCCGAATTGTAAACTCGACAATTATGAAAGATAATCCGTACGTCATGTGCGAACTCTTCAATAGATTTATAACAGTTATTTTCTACTTTAGATTCTATTTTAGAAAGATCTAAAGAGATTTACAATATTTAATAATTATTAACCAAAACACATTAACAAGAAATAACCAATCCATTACGATATGAATTATTAAGATACCCATTGGATTCTTGATAACTTTGTAATAATCAGGAACTTCATCCCCATTAACTGGAGTTCGAAATGGCCATGACCTTGGATGCTTTTTTAATTCTGAAGTAATGTTTATCATAATATTGCGAATAGATTTTTTATTTCCACGCGCACTGAAAACAAAGTTGATTAATTAAACTATCGAATAGAACTCGATGCAAAAAAAGGAAGAAAGGTCTCACAGAGCCTCCATTGCTGGTGTCCATCCTGATTCTTCTACAGAATTTTGAGAAGAACATGTCAATAAGGTACCTAAAATTAAACAGTAATTGAAATACTTACTTATCCCTGGAATCGACATTGGATCGAGAGGTTGTTTATTAGTTTTAAAGTATTTCAAACCCGGATATACAAGTGTATTTTTTTTCTGTTCATCTATTTTAATTCGAATAGCCTATGATAGGTAGAAACACATAAGAAACTGAAATAGCAAGAAAAACAGAAATAATATAATAAACAATACCAGTTTTTGTTTAGCAAGAATCTTGTGGAGTTGAAGGTATTGTACTTTATCGATCATCGTACACTATATTATAATCGCAATGAAATAAGAAATAAGAAAAAAACATTAATATTAATGATATGACCAATAAATATTAATAAATGAGCCAATGATATAAATACCTGCATAATCGTGGCTTCATCATAATCCTTAATGAAACCCATCCATAAATTTCTCTCTAATGTAATATCGGTTGTGAAACCCTAACATACAAAATACCTATTGAAATAAGTGTAAAAAAAAAAAAAAAAAAAATTTAATGTAGAAACAATATTACTCACATTTTTCTTAAAGAAACCCATGGCGTGATTGTCAGCATAGGTCATCAGATATTTTATACCTTTATTTTCTTTAAGGTGATCCTTTAAATGATTCATAAGATGAGAACCATATCCCTACATTTAACATAGTTAAAACGAAATTAATAATGATAAACAAAAATTACTAAGGCAAATTAAAATGCAGAATAAAATAAAATAAATAAAGTATTAAAATATACCTTGGCTTGCTCTGTTGAACTAACTACACAAAAAACAATTTCAGCCAATTTATTCTTTGGGAACAACCTATAGGTAATCCCACCAACAACACGACTATTGTCTTTGACAATTGACAAGGAATAATGTTGCCTAATTGTTTTTACTAAATCAATAAAAATACATACATTACTGTAATACTAATTCATAAAATAAATAGAAAATATACGACTTACTTATCATATACAAGACGAGTAATATACTCCGGAGGCATATTAGGCAACTGAATTTTAATCAGATTTTTTAGACCAGTCAACAGTCTAAGATTTTCAATAGCACCGTCATTTGTTAAAATTTTCATAGCTATAACACCTTCACGTTCCTCGATCATAGCCGATTTGTCAGCAACGGTAATCTCAAGATTGATCATTTTACGCCCATTAGGACTAGAATCAGTATCGTCAGTAAACTTTCGTTTGGTTGGATTGTTAGAAGATGTTTCGCATATTGAAATGAGTTGCCTTATCATTGTTATAATTGCGAATAAACAAATTAATTTAAAAACAGACACTTATATGAGTAAAACATTAAGGAGTAAAACATTATTTATAAGATTCTCTATACCGTTTCAGATTCTTCACTTCTTGATCTTCGTATTCAAAATCGAGAAGTTTATTTTTTGACTCCAAAATTTTATCGATCCTCATGGCTATTTCGAGGCGTTGCTGTAATTCCTCTGGTGACGAATTATTGTTGCCGTGCCAGCTAACACGGTGGCCACACTCACATAAATCCGCACGTCCAGTATTGTTGATCTTTGGTTTCCAACCAAGACAACTACACTTATTGTGCACATTACCTGACTGAACGTCAGCCGTGCATGGAATGTTTCGACCAATTTTCAACAATTTCTCATGAAGGGTGAGAGATTGTATAGGTTTCGATGCAGGTGGATACGACGACGCCATCGCATAACTTTGATAAATAGAAATGTTTACTCTTTAAATTACATAAAATAAAATATGGTATTGCTTTCTAAATTACCTGTAGTTTAAAAATAACTTTGTGCTACCACTACTAATGTACTGGATCAACCATTATTAGGTTTATTAGGTCCAATCAAAAAATTGAGATTTCCGACGATTAGGGTCTTAATAATGTTGGTGATCTTGAAAATTTGCGTCTACGAGTTTATAGTTTTCGGAGTTTCGGATGAATCCTATTTTTTGTATTTAGAGAGTATACGTAACAATAATCCCTCTAGCAAATCATTTACATACATAATCGGTGCTTAAACTTATAATTGTTGATTTTATTTCCATCACGAAACAATAAATATAGTATAACGTAGATTGTATTTGCTGAATGTATTTCACTCAGAAACCAAATAATACTCGGGATTCTATACTTATTGATCCCTTTTATCGACACGATAAATTTTTTATATATTCTTATTAGAATACTATCCGAATATTTTACATTCCTCTATGCGGAATAGACTCGAGACAACTTAGAGTTAGCATAATTATCAAAATTCATTAATATTTGATCTGATAAATCATTTGATCGTTACGTATCGTGAGAAGGGAAAAACCTGCTTTAAGTGTGGCTTATTTGATTCCACACCTTGAGGCTGGCAAGCGTACGTATGTACGCACGTATTTTAATTTATTTATTATCATCAGTTATTAAAAAAAAGAAATAACCAGTATATCCTAATGAATAAATTTCACACTATATCAATCTAATATCAGAAACGTAACTATTACGTTTATCTAACGCTAAATCAGTTATATAACGATAACGATATAGATAATAATGTTTGATCAACATCTTATCATTATAATATGACTTTTCGTAGCCAGGTTGAATATCTTGAGGGCTCAGAGTCAAGAACCGACTTTTTCGAAAGAACTATTATTTCTCTTGAGCAAAGAACACAAGCTGCTGTGCAAGTCTATGTAAAAACAGAGCCTGAGGAAATGGATATTGAACAGTTTAACGGTTCTTTTAACCTAATGTCTTCAAATGTAAATCTTGAACATAGGAAATCTTCTACTATGATTTCGCGTTCACCAACTGTTATTATGGAACCACAAAACAGTGCAAGCAATAACGACTTTAGTAAATTAGCTCAGGATGCCGATTTCTCGTGGTAATTTTCAATCAAAAAAAAAAAAAAACCGCCCAATTATATCCAACTATATCGTAATAAATAATTGCTTATTGATGGTCCTAAATCACAACATACATTGGATCTGAATTAGTCCAATATGCTTGGATATTATAAAAGAGGCGTTCGTTGGGCGTTGTGGCCATTCTTTTTGGTAAGTATCATATAATTCTACCTTCATGTTATTATAATAACAGACTTCTCTTTAATACAAATTCTATCTAGTTATTTATGTATCGTCGGCCATCTCGATATAAGGAGCGATTGTCCAATGTGTGGTAGTCATTTAACCAAAGATCAAATATATCCAAATTTTTCGTGTCAGTTATCATGTGTTTTGTGTATTTTCACTTCCTAAAATGTATAGTAAAAAATTAAGCTTACTTTTAATTTATGTATCAGTGAACAAAATTTTAGAGAAATCACCTACAATTATTGCAAATAAGGAAAGTTCATCACCTAGCTCACCCGCAAGGCAATTGAAAGAACAAATACTCAATGATGACTTGACTGTTGAAGGTTATATTCTTATTATAATGAACTTATGATTAAATTATTCCATAATTTTTAATCATTATTATTTCATATATTAATTAGATATTGATACAATGGTGGTTACACTTTTGGCCAAAAAAAAAAGATTTGAGACATTAGATAGGGAAGATGAATTAGATATTTTATATGATTTTTTGTCAAGAATGAAGACAAGGAAACAAGATGTAATAATAAATATCATTTAAAACTTGCAAAATTTTAATTTATTATTTATAGTTAGTTTATTATTCTTTATGTTTTATAAGCAACTTTCGCAAATCTCTAAAGAAATTGAATGCTTGAATGATGATTTGGCTGCGACGCAACATGATATGGATTGTTTCACTCAACATCAAAAAAGTAGCAGGATTGAAGGACAAATTTCGGAAGAATTCAACAATAATCATTCTCAAACTGCATCATCTAGTAATGACAAAGAATCTGATTTTGTTGATTGTATATTACAACCTAAAGAACAGCATCAAACTACGAAAAAGAGAAAGCATACAGTATGTCATCTGACGTTTGTGGAATCTTATAAGTAATGGTAAAAGCCTAGCATCTTTTTTCATGATTTATAGGAAGTGGATAGTTCATTCACAGCAAATATATCAAATCTAAGAAGAAGGTAGATATTTGTCATTCCTTTGTAAAAGATAATGAGTTAATTATATTTATCAATCATTATTTTTAAAAATTGTAGTGAAACAAGTTTGTCATTGCAAACTTTTGAAGATACTCACGATTTAAGGCTACAGAATAAGAAACAGAGAATGTTGAAGCATATCGAAGATCTAGAGCAATGTTATTTCTCTAGCAGATTGAAAACTTGTGAGTACTTATTGTGTCTTATATATATATATATAAAGATATTAATCAGGTTATTTTAATTAAATTTAGCAATTTCACACAAAAGTCTATCGAATTTCACATCAACACTCAGTGCATTTACAAGATATTCTAATTTTCGATTAATAAACGTATTGAGATACGGAGATATATTTAATACTTCTTCAATTGTCTCCACTATCGAATTTGATCGAGATGATGAATATTTTGCTACTGCTGGAGTGACTAAAAAAATAAAAATATTTGAATTTGGAAATATCGAACGTAGCTGTTACAATGATGCTTTGGGTGGACATTCATCAAGTAGTATTAGAGATAGCACTAGCGGTTCAAGAAAAGTGATGGACTCTTTTCTTCATTATCCAATCAGGGAGATGACTTCTAATAGTAAAATAAGGTAAAACTTGATTAATTGGTAGATCGTTTAAACACTCGGATTTGTACATTTTATCAATTTGGTGCCAAATTTATTGTTTTAAATAGCTGTTTGTCTTGGAATAATTACATCAAATCTCATATCGCTAGTGCTGATTATGATGGAATCGTTTCATTGTGGGATGTTCTTACTGGAAACCTGATAATGACCTTTGATGAACATGAAAAACGTGCATGGAGTGTTGACTTTGGAAAAATGGATCCCACAAAACTAGCTAGTGGCAGTGATGATGCTAAAGGTTTGATAATTGTCATGTCTAGTAAAATTTCCCTCTTTTAATGGTATTATTGAAATACAAATATTACACAAACTTTTTCAGTCAAAATTTGGTCTACAACACAAAAAAATTCTATATGCACGCTAGAAAGTCAAGCTAATGTATGCTGTGTAAAATTCAATCCTGAAAGTCCGCATCAAGTGGCGTTTGGTAGCGCCGGTACGCTTTTAATTACTCATCAAAATGAAAAAAGTTTTTAGATATTTTTTAAACATTTATATTCGTTCCCACTTGACAGATCACCACATACATTATTATGATCTTCGTTATAATCGCCAGCCCATTTTCATCTATAGGGGACATCGTAAAGCCGTGTCTTATGTAAAATTTATTGCCAGAAATGAATTAATTTCGGCGTAAGGACTCTTTTAATATTATTCATCAAACTTTTATACTTTTATACTTTTATTCTAGTATATATGTAAATGATCTTTTTTTATTTTCGTAAATAGTTCAACCGATAGCACACTTAAACTATGGGACATTGAATCTCAAATCTGTGCACGAACATATACTGGCCATACGAACGAAAAAAATTTCGTTGGTCTAAGTGTCTCCTCAGATTGGATTGGTTGTGGTAGTGAAGATAATTGTATCTACGCTTATTATAAAACATTATGCAGGCCGGCCATCAAATACAAATTTGGAAACATCAATGCTGTTACGGTCTGTGGGGGTTTTTTCTTCATCACTTTTAATCAATTATATTCACTGCAAAATTGTATTAACTGTATGTTTCGTTTACTTCTTTTTGTTGTAGGGTGAAGAGACTTTCGATACTGATCCTTCGCTCTTTGTAAGTTCTGTTTGTTGGAAAAAAAGCTCTAGCACCCTACTGGCCGCTAACAGTCAAGGAACCATTAAAGTATTAGAATTAGAATGAGTATTGACATTTTTTTACTTTATTGCATAGTTTTCTTTATTCATTAGCTCTATTAAGTGTAAAGGCATAAGTTTTATTTACATTTACTATTTGTTCCTAAGAATATTGTAAATCAACATTGAGCTCTTAAAGTCATTGACTTAAATAAATCAATTATTTGATATTTAAACTTTGGACTTCATTTCACAACCTTTTTTTTTCAGTGATAAAGATCGTGCTTAGAGATGTCGTATCGCGAGCATACATTTATATCTCGCGTGAGATCATATCGATATAGCGTGATTTCGCGTGATTCATGTGATAAAAATTCATTTTAAAATCTATATCGATACTAATTTTCTGGAGTTATGAACGTTAAACAGCCATTCATATTTGGGGCCTTTGTAGTAGAAAGGGCGGAAACTGCCCAAAAATGAAAATCGAGTTTTTATTGAATTTGGGTAAATTTCGATGTGGTTAACATTTTTCAATTATAAATGAGAGTCGATTTGCATAACAAACAGTCGAGATAATGTAAAGTTGCATGAAGCTGTGCACATCACAAGATTACTCGATAATCGCCTGTTACCTTTAACCAACCAAAATCGTGAAATTTTGATTGACCCGAAATTCAAAGTGATAAACTCAATTATACCAATTATGATAGAACAGGGTGAAATCCAATGCGGATTTCACCCTCATGTGATGATCATAACTCAGGTTTCACCCTGTCGTTATTAAATTTTAGACTAGCATGATAGAAATTCGTTTTGATCGGATAATTAATTTATATTGACAAAATATTGTTACCCAAGTTGAACGCTTAACTTCCATATAAAAGTTTGGGATCAAGTGTTCCATTAGAAGCGATTCTGACAATACTGGTATGTAGTACTAGTGCTTGCAGTCGATCATTATTTATCGACTTGACTAAGTCGATATTTAAAAATCGGCTGATTAAGCCGGATAAGCCGATAAATTCGACTAATGTAAAATCGACTACAAGCACTATGTACCATAATGCAAATATAATTTCCAAATTTCATCGTAGGTGAGATTTGAACCTTAAACCTGCCACTTGGAGGATGACAACCTAACTACTACACTAGGATCACCATCCTTCTAACTATATTTTTTATAATGCTTAGAATTACATTTATATATACCAATTTGTATTTTTTTATATTTCTAATTGTAAGCTCTTTGCAGTTATTATTTTTTAAATATGAATACCATATTTGGAACTTTTTAAATAGTCTTTTTAATTAGTGTTCTTATTAATTTTCTAATATAGATCTATCACAGATCTGTTACCAACTTTACTTGCTTGTATTACAATTTACAGTTATAAAGTCAATATTTTTCTAATTAATATTTTATTCAAAATATATTAATATTTCTAATTATGTAATAAAGATATGAGCAAGGCCTCACCTTAACACCAAAAAAAAAAAAATATTTCTAATTATGTTAATATTTTACTTAAGATATACAAGATTTAATATTCAATATTTATTACTAATAAAAATTAAATATTTATCTTATTACTTAAAATGCAACAACTTGATTATTTCACTAAATTACTATGTTTTTTATTTATAAAAGTTTCTTAATAACAACAAATCAGTCTACAAAACATCTTTATAAAAATAGACAGATAAACCGAATGACAAAATGTGTAGAAAAGTACATGACTAACCAGATTGCTGAAATTGGTGAAGGAAAAGGATACTAAGGTATATCATATTGGGTCATCTAAATTGAAAATCTAGAGAGTCTGTCAGTTCTGAGTTGCGATTAGTAGGGGATGATGAAGAAGATATCAAAAAGATAGGTACTGAGGTTTGGGTAAACTTTACAAAAGTAGAAATAGTGTAATATAGTAGTTTAAGGTTAGCTTTAACTGCAAGTATTAGATAACTATAGCATATTACATAAAACTAGGTTAGCTATATGTAGAATACAAAAGGTCCTGTAATGATGCTTCTGAAGATACATTGTATAAAATAAGATATAAGATTCTAAGAATATAGGTAAGTATTTAAATCTTTTTGGCTGACTTATGTAATAGAGATGATTTAGTAATACAGTAAGGATTGCAGTACAGAGTATTTAAATAGACAACACTCTTAGTTAAGTTGTAGGTATGATAGCTAGTATAGAACCATCAATGGACTACTTAATTAGACACCAAAAGTATACATGTGACTAGTTATATTCTCTAATATAAAAAAACTTCTTTGAGGTCTTGGCTATGAGTTCCTATATCCTAACTATTGAATAAAAAGCTCTAGCTTCAAAAGAAGCTAGTTTAATACAAAAAAAAAAAAATAGTAACAAGTTAAATTTAATAAAATTTTTTATTTAAATTTTATTAATCTGTACAATTAAAATAAAATTAGTTTTACTAACTTAGTTTAACAGTTATTAAGAATTTTCTGTTTTGAAATTTAAAATATATAATTATAACCTTTAATTTTTATTTTTTTAAAATTTTAAATAAATATCTCTTAATAACTACTTAGATAAACTTGATAAATATTTTATTTATTTTGATTTTACAAATTTATAAAACTTAAATAAAATTTTTTATTAAATTTATTTTAATATTTATTAAAAAAGCTTTAATTATAAGTTTTAAAATAATAAATTTTTAAGTTATTATTCTTTAAACAGTAGGTTCAGAATTCAAATTCTACTGGTAGCAGAATTTTAAAAAATAGTTTTATTTCAGCAACTTAAATAAAGTATCTGGGATTGTAATCTCTATAATTCTGATTATACTAAGACTAACTTTAAGAACATACAATGTTATATAAATAAATCCAGAAAGTATATATTTTATAAGAAACTCTGTTTAGAAATTTTAAATAGAAAGATAGTATAATTTTTGATAGTATTATCTGTGAAAATCTTGATTTAGAAAAAAAAATTTAAAGCAAATAATCTGTATAAACAAAAATCTTTAAATAAAAGTATTTACTAATCTGATTATTATTTGATCTAAGCATAAAGTTGCATTATGCAGAGCTTACTGAATTGGTAGTATAAAAGAACTTGTAAAAGTAGACAAAACACTAGTAAAATTGTAAAAAGAGATACTTGAATTATATGAACTTTACAAAAATATAACAGTTTAATAATTAACTCTAACTAAAATATTAGTTTAATTATAATAAGTTTAGATCAGTTGTAAATAAAAATGTAGTAGGTTCCAAAAGGTTTACTTTAAGGATAAATTAGTCTAAGGTTAAAATAAGAATTTAAATATAATCTGATAAAATTAATATAAATTATAAATTCAAAAGGTTTAAATAGAACATTTAAGCAAGAGTATTAAATATGGCAACTGGTAAGGAACTCTTAAACAAACTTCTTAAATAGATAATATAAAAGTTATATATGTAACCAGTTATATATTCTTTCTGTAATAGTTCTTATAAAACTATATTGCTTAAAAAATATTAATAAAGTCAAAGACTAAAAAGATCATCTTAATACTAAAAAAATAATAATAAATTTTTAAAATAAATAAAAATATAATATAATAAATTAAAATTATAGATTTGCAATAATAATAATTTATAATTACATTTTAGAAAAACTGTTTTGACTATATTCTACAAAGATATATTCTTGTTAATATTCTATAAAGTAAATAAGTTAATTAACAAAAGAGCATTTAAAGCCTTACAGTCAAGTAACATGCTCTAAGATAAGTAAAAACTTGATAAATATATTTAAAAAAAGATTATATATTGAGTTAATAATACTTAGATGTAGAAGATAGTGATCCTAGTGTAATGATTAGGTTGTCATCCTCTAAGTAGCAGGTCTAAAGTTCAAATTCTAACTATAACAAAATTTGGAAATTAATTAGTATTATGGCAAACTGTCTCTTAATGATCAATTGAATTTGTGTATCTGTAATCTTAAGTCACATCATCTCAAATATGAGCTTAGAGCATCTATGCCAAATATAATATTACACATATATAGAGGAATATTAATAACTGATGTCATATAAGATATCAGTACAAACCCACAATAAGACCACCAGGTACAGTAAACTAAGGAACTGAAAAGTTAAAAACCTATTTGGAAATTCTTGAGTAAAAAGATAGTATAAACTTTTGATAATAATACAAACTCTTTCTGCTGATCTCTTTTTTCAAAACATGGCTAAAGTAAATACACTAAGAAAACACAAAATCAGTGCAACAAACTATATTAAGACCTCTAAGAAAAAAGACTCAGTACACAAAACACAAATATTTTGTCTTAGCAATAACAAAAACAAAGTTTTGAAAAACAACCCTTTTTCTGGCTTTAAGAATTTTTGAACAAATTTTTAAGGAAATTGAAAAAGTACACTAGACCTAAAAAACAACAACAGAGCATGTGACCAGCTATTAATATAAACAACAACAAACAACAGTGCATCATGTTAAACAACAAACAACTAAATTAGGAAATATAAGTAAGTACAAGTACAGCTACTAAATAGATGGACAAGCAACAAAAAAGTCTAGAAATGGAAGTACAAACAAAAATAGAATTGCTATTAAATACAGATTTAATTTAACATATTAGAGGGTTCAGAGATAGAAACTATAGACATATAGATAGCAAGATACTAGATAAGATTTTGTCAAAATGTATTAGAAATTCAGATAACTTAAAATATATAGCAAAAGATCTAGCGGTTTATGATCCGAAAAATATTACAGTAAAGGATTTACTTCTTTATGACCAAATTCTTAAAGTGCTTAGAATAGCTAAAGTGGGCATGATGCCATATAATATCATCAAAGAATAGGCAACAAAGCTATTAACAATAGATGTAAACCCAGGCTCTTTCAATTCTCAAATGAATTTTAATGAAGAAGAAACAATTAAAAAAGAAACAAAAACAGAGAAAACTGGAAAAGTTAAAAAAGTGAAAAAAAAAAAAATTGCCATACCAGAAAAAGAAGGAAAAAACCAAGAACAAGCAAATAAAAAAGAAGAGATAAACCAAG